GGGAGAGGTGAGAGCGGCAGCCGGCAGCGAGGGCCGCCCGAGCCCAGAGCGAGGCAGCCCTGTGCTCACAGCCCGGCACTGTTTGTCCAAACACTGACACCAGAGGGTGCGGAGAGGGTTCCAGTTTATCTCCAAACTCGGGAAGCAGCCGGCAGAGACTTTTTCTTCGTTTTATTTTATTTTTAAAAAAAATATATTTGTATTGATTTCAGAGAGGAAGGGAGAGGGAAAGATAGAAACATCAATGATGAGAAAGAATTATTGATTGGCTGCCTTCTGCCCGCCCCACACCGGGGACCAAGCCCATAACCCGGACATGTGTCCTGACTGGGAATCGAACCATGACCTCCTGGTTCATAGGTCAACACTCAACCACTGAGCCACGCTGGCCGGGCAAGGTGGTAATTTTTAAAGGATTTTTATTACAAGTAACATCCCTCATTTGATGAAATTGACATTTTTCTGCCAACTTGGCTCTCTTGCCTAAACCTTGGTGCTTTGCACTCTAGTAATTCTTCAAATTTAATGTTTTATAGAATGTAAAGTGAGTTAACTCATCCTTTTTGTCAGTGTTGTAAGTTCCATATGGAGCATTTACATCTGTATTAATCAGACACGCTAAAATCATTGAGTGAGCCTACACTGTTCATTTTAATAATAGTTTTCAACAGATGACAAAGCACACCATGCAGCAGCTACCCGGCTTTAGCAAGAAAGCTAAAAATTATATCAAGTGTATGGAGTTGCATTATTTAAACTTAAATTCATTTTTTTCTATTAAAAACATCCTCAATTCAATAAGTTACAACATGTATTTTGAAATATTTGGGAAATGATCCTATCTGCCTTATTTCATTCTTAAACAGCAGAGTTAAGACACCAATTCCTACTAAAAATCTTCCTAGTGAGATATTAACTATGATGATGTGTCCCCTTGATTAAGTAAGAAAAAAAGAGTTGGGGCTTTGCCCGAAAGGACATCATTTCAGAAGTTCATTTGCTTTTTTCTTCATTAAAGGCAATAAAATGTGGGTGGTTAACCTGAGAGCTGCCATTTTCTTTACATTAAGACTTAACTGGGTGGATGATTGTATGACAAGAGCTATTTAGGATTAGAAAGGAGTCGTGGCTTGGATGTAAGTGAATCACACGCTATTTGTGAATCCTTCGGCAGTTAATTTGGATCATTTCCATTGCACTGCGAGCAGACGGCAGACTTTCTTCCCTGTTACCCCAGCGTCCACGTCAGTTCCCAGAGGAATCGAGTTTGTCCTACAGATGTTGGCTCCGATGGGGATGAGCCCGGGGGACTCTAAACATGCAGTTGAATTTATCCCCTTTCTGGATACTGTTAAATCACTCCTGCCTCAAGCAGAGGGGCTGGTCTTTGCTTCAAAGGCAGCTAAAGAGTGAATTATTTACCAAATTGCACAAAAGGGAGGATTTATCAAGCCCCTTCTCTCCCAGAGAGGACAACCTCAGAAGCGGAGGCCTTAATTACTCTTTCTTGGCTATAAATTATGCCATTCAGATGCTTGTGAAAGCTTCTCTTCATGCTCTTGCTTGAGTCATAAAACTTGATACCTGGGGCCAAATGCCTTTATTTCCTGACCCCACCCCACCCCCCAAGGGTGAAGAAGATGAAAAGGCAGCAATTCCAGCGAGTGCCACACAAAGCCAACGACTGGGCAGAAAGCGCAGGGAGTGGCGACAGTTACTCTGCATAACCCATGCCTCCTTGACCTGATATTCCCCAAAATGAATTTGACCGTTTGCATAAGATCATCAGACCCTCAAAAACCTGTATTGGCCACTTGGAAACCACTTGGATGTAATCAACATCACCAATTTGATAGTTGTCATTCCCTGTCACACTGGGATTCTAGAATTTGTGAATCTGAATAAACCAGCTACTCACCTGGAGAGGGTTTGCTGGAGCCCACTTTCTCTGGTTGCCTTGCAGTCATGGTACTTTTATGTTTCTGCTTGACGGATGTTTGGTCAATTGCTGGAAGTCTGGAATCAAAGTTCATCGCAGAATTCTTGATAGGTTGGGCTAGAAGATCCTCCTCACTATCACTCTATGGAAAATGAAAGGAGTTTGAGTATCAGTAGCCTAGTAGGTCATTCTTTTATTTTTATTTTTATATTTTATTGGTTTTTTTCAGAGAGGAAGGGAGAGGGATAGAGAGCTAGAAACATCGATGACAGAGAAACATCGATCAGCTGCTTCCTGCACATCTCCTACTGGGGATGTGCCTGCAACCAAGGTACATGCCTTTGACTGGAATTGAACCTGGGACCTTTCAGTCCGCAGGCCGACACTCTGTCCACTGAGCCAAACCGGTTGGGGCTAGTAGGTCATTCTTGCTAAGCAGAGGGAAAAAAGCCAAATGCACTGACCCCCTCCGTCAATAACTCTGGAGCAACCCACCATGATGCTCAATACGTCCTTTCACCAGTGAGATTTTGATGGACTGGGCTTATCAATGTAGAAATAATAGCAAAGTGCTGAGTCTTATTTGTAGAACATTATAAGAAGAATGCACATTTATTGGTCTGTCTTGTAGAACATTATGAAAAGACTGCATTTCTGGTCCTTAAGTAATTAGTTCATGTTCAAAGCCACATAAACTTCTTGCTATTTGTTGTTTGAACTACTTTGCCGGTGGGTGAGGAAAAAAAAACATTCCTTGTGTTAATCATACACTTGACAATGGAAAGGAAGTTTAGATAGTGTGTTGGGATCGAATAAGTCAGACCTCACTTTAATATTCTGAATTACTGGGTGCAACATAAGACAGACTGATCTTTTAAAAAGTCCCCTACTTGTCAGTCTGCTATAAAGAAGTCAGTATAAATCTATGCGCGGACAAATCATGATTCCTGCAATGTCAGAATATCTTAACACAGCCTTACGGACGCAGTAAAAGTTACCCAGCCATTCGATAGCTTGTGTACTTCGCCACACTTTCAACCACCAAAGTAATGATGAAAACAATATAAATGGCTTGTGAGAAACCTGGTCTAGAAGGGTGATTTAAGTCCTGCCTTATGGTTTAGGTGCCGGTGTTAGTATGATTTGCTAGGCCATACACTCAGCAGCAAACAAAACCACAAGGCT